GGGGGGGGGGAGAAACAAACCATAAACTTTTCCCTGGTGGGTTTTTTTTTCTGCGCAATACCTCAACTTGGTGATAAGTGAAAGGATGTCTTGCAAGTATGGGAATTACAGTAGTATTGAACTAGCATATTCTGTTATGTTCCTGCAGCTCCTCTTTAGCTCACTGTCTTGAAGACAAGAAGTTCTGGCTGATCAGGAGTCTCTATTAGCAATTCCAGTTGGCTGGAGAATGGAAGGTGTTGAGTTTAAGGAAGAATGGCAAGATGAAGATTTTCCAAGGTTTTAAATTTTTTTTAAAGTAATTCAAGTCAAATGCATAACATCCAGAATAAGCTATCTCTCTATCTTCCTGGTGAACTAACATTCAGTAATAATCTTGAAGTGATTTCCATTGATACAGTAGTCTTGAAAAGGCTTTGTGGTATGTTTCTTTATGGTCTGGAAAGGGATCACTTCATGTTCCTGTGTAAGTTAAGTAATACAGGAATCTCACTGTTCAAGTTTCCAGTGTTGCTAAAGTGAAAATGTGTAAGTTTGGCTCTGTTTGTTTTCTGTGGTAATCTTTTGCAACTACATTATTTGCGTTTTATTACCAGTGTCTGAAGGCCCAAACATTTCATTAAGCTACATTTCTGAGCAAAATTTTAAAGTTAAGACTGCTAGTGATGCTTGGGCCTACAAAGAAACTAAAACAGCTGACTTCAGAGGCATTCTATAATAACATGACAAAGCTACTTCTGTAATGTGTTTAATGTCAAATTTTCTCAAGCAAGAATATGACAAGTTTTCTTAAGGATGACATACACTAATAGCAACCAGTATTTTGGTGTTTGTCACATCAACAGATGGTTGCTTGAATGCTGTAAAGGAATTTTCTGCTACTTTGATGCTTTGTCTACTGACAGTTTGAACTTGGGCTATAAGTAAATTTTAGTTCAGTACTATCCCACAGTGGTTTTTTTAGTAGTGTGTAAGTCTAAGTATTTGGTATTTACCTGGCTGCTTAAAAAAGGAAAAAAGTTTTGTAACAATGGTTTCTACTTCGTGCACCAGGCCCCTGCCGGAGGATGATCCTGTTGAGTCAGATATATTGGCTGCAGCTGGAACAGAAAGTGAAGCTGGTAAGAACATTCTCCTCCAGTCATGCTGACTGCTTTCTGCTTAGATGGCTGTTTTAAAGCTCCATTCTGTTTTAGGGTGTGTTTTGGTTTTTTTTTTTGGTGGGGGGTTTTGGTCTTTTTTTGTTGTTGGGTTTTTTTTGAGTCAGGCTTGGGGAAACAGCATTCTAAATGACATTTGTTGTATGTGAAGAGTATTATCACCATCTTGTCTAGAAAGAAAAGGGTTTTGGAATAAAATATGAGACTCTTCATCCTCCCTGTGAACAGAGCTATCCAGGTAATACTGGACAAAAATGAATCATTGCACTTGCTTTCTGACCTGTCTTAAAATCTTGGTTCATTATTTGGCTTCTGTGCATCAGTTAGGGCCTACCTTAGTTCCGCTCCAAATTTCAGACCTTTGTGGCTTTTTAAGAATGTTGCCTGTCCGAATGGTCAGAGGGGAAATAATACAGATGTTTGGGGTTTTTTTACACTTTTAAATTTTTTGGATCTTGTCTGTCTGCTTTAGTTGTGACATTTCCAGTGCTGGATCAGTCATTTTATTTTATTTCCTGCTTTCAACTGCTGTCTAAATCACGCAAGTATTTGCCTTGTGTCTCAAAGTATGCTGTATATTCACCTAATAGTTTCTTTAATTTTCTGTCCTCACTGTTGTCTGTCAGCCTTCTTTTTTTGCAGCTTGTATATTATTTTTTCATCAAAGATGGTTATGATGTTACCAATAACTAACAAAAACAAGGACTAGGGACATGAATCTATTGCATTATTTGTAAGATTTATTTAGTGTAATATCTAGAATAACTGATGGTACATTTTGATGTAGCTAGCATGAATAATAGTTGCTTAGGTGGTGGCAATTCAGAGTTTCTTCTGTAGGGAGTATGGTGGTCTACCACTGTGATCGTAGTGTGCATGCAATTGGGTAAACTTACGGTCTTGAGGACTTGAGAACTTCGACCTCCAAGTGCTGTTCTTTTCACCCTGTGTTTAATTCTTATTCCAAAGATACATGATTTAAATTATGGGCATTAACTTACAATGCATTCTGAGAAAGCTCTTCTGTCTTGTTAATATGCTTATCTAAACTCGCTTTAGCTTTGAAAATAAATAATTTGCTTTTTTAAATACAGAGGTTAATGGAACCAAAGTGAGGAAGAAACTAATGGCTCCAGATATTAGCTTAACTTTGGATCACAGTGAGGAATCTGTTTTGTCTGATGACTTGGATGAGAGTGGAGAGATTGATTTGGACGATTTAGATACTCCTTCAGAAAATAGCAATGAGTTTGAATGGGAAGGTAAGTATTTTGTTACTTTCGTCTGATGCCCTAAAATTTTTCTATTTTCTTATGTGCAGGTCATCAGTTTTTCAGGTGGGAAATAACTATGACTCACTATTACAAGAGGAAAAATATGAAGGGAGTGATTAGACTAGAAATTGGAAATAGGCGCAATGAATTTTTAAAGAGCAAAGCAGACCTCCACTGATCAGTAAACAGGCAACATAATAATAGCCGTAACTTCAAATAAATGTACGTTAATGTCATAAAACACCTGTAAGACTCGAAATTATAGAAAATCCTCACTGTTGCAGTATGCTTTTAAGAATCAACCTGGGAAAAAAATCAAAGGTGTTTTATATGTATTATAGATCAGTTTTAAATGGAGGTGAACCATATAAAGGGATACAGATTATAGATTAGCTAGTCAGAAATCGATGAATTGTAAGCCTTTGTCTTTAAGGAGCACTGAATGATATTTTTAAAAATACTGAGTAACACCTGATCTCGTATCTTACTGTGGTGAGAATGGCCAAAGGTCAGTAGCCTTAGAGTTTGTGTGCTTTCCGAATTGACTGGAAATGGTAGAAGAGCCTCTGTTTTGTGTCAAGGAATTCTGAAATAACTTGATAGGAAGTTAACTTAGCTATAGCTACAGCAGTAATGATCTTAATTTTAAGAAATGAACAGACGCTTCATCTTACTCTTGTAGGCAAAACCTGGAGATTCTAACCAATTTTATTTGAGGTAAAAAAGTTCTGTGTAGGAGTTTAAAGCACAAGTTTTAAACTTGCAGTTTATGTTTTAAGGCCCTCTTACGTAAGCCAAGAACTGTTGTGTTGGTCAAACAGTTGGAGTCTTTAACTTCTGTAAACTCATGACTTAAGAATGTCTCTAATAAGTAAACATGTAAACTCAATTTTTTTTTATTCTGGAAATAAAATAATTTTAATTCCTGAGTAAACAGGAAGCTCTCTTTTCACTGTTACGTATGAAATGCTACTTGCTCTTCATTCTGAGATAGCTTATAAATGGAGAAGGAAACACTCTTTAGAATAAGGGATTTTTTTTAAATAGCTAAAGACAAATTGCAGGTGAAGTTTTCATAACAAAGATTGTGGGTTTACCTGTGTAAAAGGATTTTCATCATTTTAGTGAGGAAGAATTGGTATTTAGGGTTAGTTTTGCAATGATGCGAAGGAAATGTTCCGAATGTTTGTGCCTTGTTTTTAAAAGTGGCTGAAAAGGGTTTCTGTCTTTTCTTCCTTTAATGCTGCTGCCTTCATTTTCGTGGAAGGATAGTTTCAATTAACAGCTTTGTCTTGGGAACAGACAGCTAACTTGCAGTAGGTTTTTCTCGCTTTGGGTAAGGTCTGTGCAACAAAGTCAAGAATCATAATTTAATTGGAGCAAATTGTTTTACAGATTGCTGTCAGCATAAATTTCATATATATTGATTGCACACATGTGAATTAGATTTAATTTCTAATAGATTTGCCTGCATGTCTGCTTGCAAGGTACTGTCAATGTTTTAAATCATGCTTCTATGTAAATCTGTGATCAAGCAACCTGTGTAATTATCATTGGAGTTAACCACTTTGTCTATTTTGGTGAGATTCATCAAGGTCTGTGTTCTGAAAGCCTACAATTAAATAGGCTTCCTACATGAATGGAAATTTGTCATGTACTTTAACATAGAAAATCACAGTCAATGGATAACCGCCAACGTAGGGTATTTTGATAAAATATGACACCCATGAGATCCTATTTTGTAATGACTGAAGGAACCAAGTCAGCTGATTGTCTGACTGGCTAAAGAATATTAAAATAGATTAGATAGCAAAGTGGTTAACCTGTATTGTAATTGATTGTCACTATACATAGTATTCATAATGGATCTTGAACATGTTTTAACTGGCAGATGATCTTCCAAAACCAAAAACTACTGATGTAATTAGGAAAGGATCACTTACTGAATACACTGCGGCAGAGGAGAAAGATGACGGTCGACGCTGGCGAATGTTTAGGATTGGAGAACAGGACCATAGGGTGGACATGAAGGCAATTGAACCATATAAAAAAGTTATCAGTCATGGTGGTAAGGATTAGTGATGTGCTGAAGGGGAACTGTGAGAAACTACTTTAAGCTGAGTTGGGGTGGCACAGGAAGAGCTTTGGGCATAAAGATTCATGTGATGATTCATTTGTTGCAGTATTAAAGCATGTGGTTGATTTAATATTTTTTCCCTATTAAACTGAAGTTCCAAAATGTACGTATGTTCAGATGAAGCTACTAACACGCACATATGTAATAAGAGGTACTTACCTGTTCTGCAGTGTCAGTGCTACCAGTATAATTTTTTGGTTTTAAGAGTGTTGAAAGCATTAACTGTAGATCTACTAAGGCATACATCAATTTAATGACTCTTCCCAACAGTCTGTGGAGTTTAGATTGGAAGAAAATTTGGCTATATAAAATGTTATTAAATATACTGAGATTCTATATTGAGATGTTGAGTGTATGTACAGTGCTTGATTTACATCAACTTCAGTTATTTTTTTTAGAAGTAGACAAACTTTAAAAAGAAATCTTGAGGTTTTCTGTAACTATGAATCTGTCCATGTAGAATAGATGTTTGTAGACCTCTAAGGTAAATAATGAAAAAGCTTACTGAACGTGCTTGACTTTGTGTAAATGTAGTCAATGTATAGCCACCTTTGTCACTACTGCTGTTTTCATTGGTTTTAGGTTATTATGGTGATGGGTTAAATGCCATTGTTGTGTTTGCTGTTTGCTTTATGCCTGAAAGCAGCCAGCCTAACTACAGATACCTAATGGACAATCTATTTAAGTAAGTAATCATCTGCCTCTGAATACTGTCTTAATTTCACATCGTGAAACTTAGCATTTTAATGTAAGGGCAATTACTTCTCTCTCTTTTTTTTTTAAATGAAACTTTTTATATTTCAGATGAGGAAAAGGTAACAGAAAAGCAACTACACCTGCTTCCAGGGGAGAGAAAAAAATGATCAGATGTTGCTCAACACTGTTGCCAACCCTGTATTTTTTTAAAATATTTGAGCGCTACTAGGAATTACTTTAATATCCACAGATCTTCACTTGAAAGTTTTCTTTGCTTGTTTCTGCAGATATGTAATTGGCACTTTAGAGCTGTTAGTAGCAGAGAACTACATGATAGTTTACCTGAACGGTGCAACAACACGGAGAAAAATGCCAAGTTTAGGCTGGCTTAGGAAATGTTACCAGCAAATTGATAGAAGGTAAGAAGCTCTGCAGTGTTTTCTTACAATATTCACATGTTCAGTGATATACATATTTAGGAACAACTGCTGTTTAATGTGGGTCTGGTACGTAGTGGTTAAGATTTAACTAAGCAAATTGCTTGGTGTATTGAAAACCTCTTCCTAAGCTAGACAATGTGGAATAATGCTACAGGCATGCCTAGGTTTTTTTGTTGTTTTGTTGTTGTTGTGAAAATAGTAGTGTTAGAATACTGAATACTGTTACCACGTAGAATATCCTTAAAACTTCATGTATTAATATGGTAAGGTAATAAGGGGGGGGACACCTTTGTGAACCACTTCATCACTAGTTGTGTAAAAAGATTCAAAGAAACTTCTCTCTGGAATGTTATTTCCTTGTCATTGTTGTCAAACTGATAATGGAATGTCAGAATACTAGATTGATGTGACAGTTGTGCTTGCAAAAACATACTTTTTATATAATAAAAAACCCCTTGTTGTCATGCTGCCTTTTTGTTCTAGTAATTATGTCCACTGTTTGAATTCTTCAGGTTAAAGAAAAATCTGAAATCATTAATCATAGTTCATCCTTCTTGGTTCATCAGGACACTTCTGGCCATCACAAAACCTTTTATTAGGTAATACTGTGGAAGCTATTTCTTTTTCTAAAAAAAAAAAAAAAAATCCTAACAAGTGTTTACTTTTAAACTTCAAAAACTGTTTTAATATTGACCTACTGAAAAATTTTTAAGTTGTAACTGTACGCTGCATTTGTTCTTCCACAGCTCAAAATTCAGCCAAAAAATTAGGTATGTCTTTACCCTGGCAGAACTAGCTGAACTCATCCCCATGGAGTACGTTGGCATCCCAGAATGCATAAAACAGTACGTTTTATTATTCAGACATGTTCTACACTGATCATGTTTTAGAACTGGTATATATCGTATTCAATGATTCGTTTGAATGTAATACTTTGCATTTAATAAAATTTAATTTAACTCAGATCATTGCTGTCTCTAGGAGGAGTATCCATGTTTGACCACATTACTAACTACAGTTTGGTATGCAGTAGCATGGATATCAAAATGTTAACGTATAGGGATTTTCACAGACAGTGCCTTATGTAATTACCACGTTATGGTGTGTTAATTAGTCTTCTAGAGACAAGGCCTCATTCCAGTTGTTCAGCCCCTTAGTATACTAAACTGGCTTGTGAGTGAGAAATTTTGGGCATGTCAATACTGAAGTTATGTATAGTATCTTCAGTGTTCTTGCTAAAATGTGGAACAGGTTAAGTGGTGAAATATGACTTGGGTTGGGATTTCATTTAAAAGAAGAGCTGTGCTGGAAAAGTGCTGAATCCCTACCTTTTAACAGTTCTAAAACTACTTTGGTATAGAGGGGAAGGCAGCATCCTTGTTTGTCCTTGGTTTTCTCCTCTTCCTTCCAGATACAAATACCTATTTTAATGTCAGCACAACTTTTCTCTCAAATATGATGATGATTCTTTTGTCAGCAGCATTTGTGGGGGCAGTAATAGAGTAGAACCATAAACTTGGATCTTAAAAAAGTCAGATGAAAATACTAACAATTCTGATGATAAATTGATCAGCCTATTGGAGAGCATAACATACAAAACCTATAGAGTATGCATCACAATAGGTGATCACAGACTGGGAACTCCATGAGGAAAGATGGCATAGTCTCACTGTGTGGACAGAAGGGCATGTCCATGTTGGACAAATCCCCCTACCACCCCTGCAAATGGCTGGTTATTGCAGTAAACGTTCAGCTGGTATCAGCTGCACAATTTAACTTTTTATAAAATAGAGAAAACGCAGTTTTCTTGGGGTGGGGAGGAAATACTGACATGACAATACTGAAGCAGCCTTGTGCTATCTTTAGAATATTTTTTTTTACTGGAGCTTTTGAAGGATATGTTACGAATATTCAGACTGTCGTTCCAAGTCTTGAAAGACTCCTTTCTGTATTGATGAACCTTTAACTGTTCTGAAAAAGATGAATTTGGTTGACTTAGGGCGTTAATTCTCAGACTTCTGTGGAGGATTATATCTGATTTCAAACTGTTACGGATACAGACTTTAAATTTTAGTGATGGATGTTAATACTGTACAAGAAGCTGTATTGAATTCATATGTTATGTCATAGTAACTAAATCTTAATGCTTCTTGTTTAATCCTTATAAATATTGGAGGTATATATTTTTTCTTAATTATATCAGTTTCAAAATTTGGTGTGTTTCTACAAACTGTATTGACACTAATACCAGTTTGCAGCTTCTGTGGAATTTGGCCTTCATATGTTATATTTACTGAAATCAAACTTTTCCTCACCAAGGTATGAAGAAGAAAAGTTTAGAAAGAAACAGAAAAGGTATATTCATATTTTGATTAGGGTTGCATCTAGATAAGATGATTTGCGCTGCAACTAACTCCCAGTTGATTGGCTTGCATAAAGGAATAAGCATTTGTAAATATAAACATGCACTAGTGACTAAGTTTTTATGTGTAAAAGTAACTATACTGCCTGCAAGTACAGTGTATCATCTGAAAGAACTCGCCCTGAATGTTCAAACAGGTATTTGTGAATAGTCTCTATTACTGTTACATGAGATGCTCACTTTTTAGGGGATACATGGATTCTCAACTGAATCTTCAAGAGGCAAAAGTAGTGCTTCTATATGACTCAATTAAATCAAGTTTCACTGTTTCTAACAAGAAGTGATGTCTGAAGGAAAAGCTGTTTTTAGGTGCTAAGCTGTAGCTATGCATCAGCAGAGATGCAACTCTGGAAAAAGTTCTAATATTGAATCTTGTATTCTGTATTTTTGGTATTCAAGGCCTTTTTAGTTATTAACTTGCACAGATGCAATCTAAATTAGTATTTTTAGTGCTGTTTGTATTTGCAGTGCCTGTGTTCCTTGCTAATAAACATTGGATTTTCATTTTGTTAATTTTCAGTGTCCCGCTAACTATTTGAATGGATATGTTATTTTTTCACTCTATCACTAACAAATGCTTTGAAAGGTGTTGCTACTAACTTTGCTTTTTTTAATTACTCTTCCTGTGTGTGCATAACTATTGAGGGAGGCTTATTGTCTAAATTGGGTAACGGACATAGAGAGGAACACTAAGAGATTAAAATAAAAGGAATTTAAATTCTTTCTGAAAGCTAGCAGGTAAAGCTAGTGACAAGTGTTGAACATTCTCTAGGTATTACTCCCATTAAGTGATAATCTTGCAGTGTGTAACCTGAAGTACTAAGCCTGTCAAATTTAAGAAACCCATTCTGTACATATTGAACAGCTCTGCTTGATTCTGCCCGCCCCCTCCCCGCCCCCCCCCGCATGCATAATTTGGCCCAATTCTATTGCAAGGCCCATTGTATTCAGGATGCAAACCTGAGACATTCAAACAGTAATGTAAAAACTTTTAAAAATCTCCAGTACACCAAGGTTTTTAGTGTCCCTATCGATATCATCACTTATACTACCATCACTTTTGTAAAAAGTAGTATGTTCCTTAAGTGAAACTTATGTATAGAGGAGAGATCACAGGCACTATTTGATACTGAGACTTTAATCAGGTTGAAAGCAGTTGTAGGTATTATTTATTATAATGGGGGAAGGGGAGATATGTTGAAGTTTAGTTACTAAATTTGTTGAGGCTGGCAGTAGGAATTCTTTGGCTATGTGTATGAGTCACTTTGGAAGCTAGAATATGATACACTTCTGTGGATTTATATTGTCAGCTGTATGCTTATGCGTAGCTTGTTTGCATTAGCTTACCATATTTTCTTGCACTTTCTGTGATTAGTCCTATAAATCATGTCAAAACATGCTTTCCTAAGGTACTGCAGTGAGGACAGGGAAGAGTTGCAGCTGCATACTGTGCAGGTGAACAGGTATTTGACTAGGACTGTTGCTTCTAGACAACACTGCTCCAGACCTATTGGATCCTTATGTACTAGGTTCAGTTCTTACAGCTGAAAAAAAACCCCCAAAAACTTGCCTCCCCTTTTTATGGGTTCATGGCCTAGAAGAGCTGTCATTGTTCTTACCATTTTGAAAAACTGGCTGGTTATAGTTTGAGAGACTGGACAGGTAGGTTAAGACAATTAGGTTGCTAGAAGACAAACTTGGCCTTAACCTCTCTCACTTTGGAACTGCTGTTGGTTTTAAAATTAATTTACCTCCATGCACAATTTGTTTTCCAGAGATATAGTTAAGACTGTAGCTTGTTTGTACTATAAAGAGGAAGAGTACATCTCGTGCAGGACTGTCAACCATCTGCTAGTTTCTGCAAAGCAATATTTTGTTGCTAGTCCCAAGGCAGATACCAAAAACCAAACCAAAACAAAAAAACCAACCCAAAACCAAGCAAAAAAACAGTTTTAGCAGCATGGTGATGAATTTTTCATGGGTCATTACAAGAGTCGTAGAACTTAGTAGAAAAAGTATTGCAGTTAAGGAGTCAGTTAACTTTTGTTTCAGCTAGTGCTGTTACCTTCTTGGCTTAATTACTATAATATTAAAGGTAATTCTGTGCTTATTCTGCAGTGTATGAATTCATCATAGTAGTGCTTGACAGTATTGTTATGTTACTGTAAACTTGTATTGCTGCTTGCATTCATTAATAAAGGCACAGAACCTGCTTTTATTCTTCTGTAGTCAAACTTCACTTGCGCTTTTCAAATGCTTCCTTTTGAATGCTATAGTTACTTAAATAGTTTAACAACGTTAATTTCTAGGGGGAGGCAATTTTTTTTTTAAAAAAGCATTGTTGTGACTGCATTCAATAAAAATATTAATTTAATATTTATTTACTAAAACTTTTTCTATGTAAAAGCTTTGTGTTTTCCTGTTTAAGATTAATAGTTTTTGCTTAATATATGAGCTATCAAACTAAACTACTTCTTAACATAGTTTTAATTTTACTGCTTTCTTTGCTAAGCAGAGTTGACCAAGAGCTGAATGGAAAACAGGAGCAGAAAAGCGAACAATAAATTTGGAGTCCAAACAAGACTGAAGAATATGCAGATGGAATGATGCTATTTTTGCTCCATTTACAATGCATTCTCTGTGTGTGTATATATTATATAACTTGTTGCAAAAGGTGCTTAATTTCTTTGGACTAGCACACAATGGACTGCTTACTGCTGTATTGGTTTGTCTTGACTTTAATAGCTATGTTTATGTAATCATTTTATACTGCTAAATGTCAAAGAACCCTATGTTTTCAGAGGATGTTCTTGCAGTTGTTTATCTAAATGATGCATGTTCTTCAGTAAAATATTTATATACTTAAATGTTAAAGGAAAGAGATAATATATATTTTTATGACTGAGCAATATAATGTGTGTACCTGCTGAAGGAATTCATTTGCAGGTAGACAAGGCCGTAAGTTACTCGTTATTGTATAAATCTGTTTTGCTGTAAATGGTCAAGTGCATTTCTTCATTGTCACAGAAACCTTAATTTGTTTGGATATTAAGAATCACGTAATGTAGTCTTTCACAAGTGTGGAGATCCGTATTTTTGTTCACATACCTAAAACAAGCAGTACTCATTTATTTACCTCACTAGAGTGAGCTTAAGCTTTGGTGTCTCTTAGTCCATTTTTCAGAATGCAGAACTGCAGTTCTGTGAACTTCAGTCTGTTGGCCAAAGGGTTTAAGCCTAAGCCACAATAGAAGCTGAACTGTTTGGTTGACTAGTAAGATATCAGACCTTTCTCAATTTAAGTTGCGAATTTAAATTCTGCTTCACTAAACCAAGGCTATTTCAGCTACCAGAAGGAAATGAGTTCATTGCAGTTCTTCCTGGATGAATATTGGTTGTCACCAGTAGGAACTCTGGTTATACTTGGTAGAGCTTGGGAGTTACACAGATATTCTAGCCATAATATCAATTGTTTGCAGAGGTATGGGCAGTCTTATGCTACCTTTGTCATCCTTGTAGATGAAACATCCATTTCTAAAGGTCTTAGTTTGGCACATGATACCAGCACTAATTTCACTTGAAAAAAAAGTGATTTCAAGGTTGGGGATTTTTTTCTCCCCACAATGTTAGTAAACTTGTGTCTGTAAGAGATGTTCTTGGACATATAACTAGCATTTATAGGTTTATCAGAGCAACAATAATGCACTGGTTGATAGGTTGTAAAAGTTTAAAACATCTTTTGAGTAATCATTGCTATTTCCCTGTAAGGACAGGTGCATGCAAATAAATCCATTCAGGAGTTGAGCAATATAATATTGTAGCAAATATATTAAATCTTCACTTTTGTTTTTTTATTGTGCTCACAATTTTGTCTTAATGCCAAAAATATCAGTTCTCAATTATATTAAAAGCTAGTGTTACACAGTTTTCTTATTTAAAAAAGTAAGGTTGCGCTTTAACCAGATTACTGCCTGACACTGATAAACAGCAGTCAAGAGATGGTTCCATGGTCAAGACTTACTACCAATTAACAATTAATCTGTCTCTAATGATACATGTATAGACTCTGAGAGCATATTCATGTCAAATGAGGGCAAATTGTCCATGTCTCTGGGAGTTTAAGTCTGCAATTTTGAGACTTTCATCTCAAGATCTAGGTACTTTTGTTATAGTAGCTTCTGTATCAGTTTCAGAGAGATTAATATGCAGGATGTTCTCTTTCAAAAGGCAATGCTAATTTCAAGCTGCCTTTCATCGATTTCATCAGGTTTGGATCTTGCTCTGAAAGCAGAACACAAATGTGAACAGGTTTTTTGGGGCTGTCTTATCTCCTGCTTCCATTTTGATGTGGACCCAGATTAATATAAAGTTCCAGTCAGTGAATTGGACACTTACAGCCTCTTTACTTCTGATACTTTCACAGTGTGGTATGTATGACCATGCAAACCTGTAAACCTTCCGGATTTTTACTGATTCTGTGTGGGTCCTAAGCTAGATACTAAGCATTCTGATCATCTCATTGCAAACTTTTCCTGATTAAAAAAAGTATTTTTCTTAGTAATTCTTAGTGGAAGGATTGTAGTTCTATATGTCCTGTTGCTTCCTATGTGTATAGTGCAGCATAGAGTAGCCAGTCCTATGTATAGGCCTCACTACCAAATGATGGGATTGTTCCTGTTATTTCCTGGTAGCTGAGTGATTCTACAGTTTCATGCTACAGTAGTAGTATTTCTTTTGGAGATGTGTATGTGCTTGTCTAATGGTTTATTTCTCTAGTATAAGTTTTTGTAAAAAAACTATTTTCACAGCACGACAGTTCTTCTGTCCCTAAAGATACGCAGCTTGAGAAACAGGTGTACTAAAGAATTATTCCCCTCTGACCTTTTGCAGCTCATCATTTAATGGTGAGGTGGATGTTTACAAAAAGTGAAGAAGTCCTAAAGTTATCTTGAACACAAATGGGTAACTTTTTGTCAAACTTATATTTTTTAAATCTAT